AACACGGATGTCGAGTGTTCGCCCACAGCGAGGGACAGGTCGGCCAACTGGGGGCCACCCCTGACCCCCGACTCGCCCACCCATAGCATGAATGTCTGCCCCCCTCTGATCAATAGCAACCGTACGGTGTCTTTGGTGTCCAATTCGTATGTCTTCTCAATGATAGTAAACTCCGGCACCGATTCAGTCATCGCAGCGACGGATCTGTTTGTCTGAAGGGATAATTAATTAATTGATTAAAATTTTTAATTGAAAAGTATTTAATTAATAAAAAGTTATCTCAAAACTAGTCAACTGACAAAAAGTAATAATTTCGACACCAAAACCTAAAGTAGACTGTATTTCACTGACCAATAGTGTACAACACCTATAGTGTACTAATTATAACACTAACTAACTTTAATTAATATTAACAAATTAAACATAATTAAATTAAATACACAATAAACACACTATGTATTCAACTCTATGGTGAGGGGACTAAACAAATAGCACACGTAATTCATAACGTTATTTACGGACAACCCTTTGCTGTAAACCACAAACCAGTATTGAATTTGAAGGCAAACACAAAACTGCGGTTAAAATCACTGCTATTGACAACACTTACCATAAACTTCTTCGTGGGAACCGATTGGTGACAGTTATGGTCACAAAAGTAAGCGCTTTAATTGGTGTACAACTATTGCTAACTAATTAAAACTATAGTTAATTAAATGTATAAATAGTTAAATATTAGTTAATCAGTGATTTACACTTGCAATGCATGTAAACATACCATCTGTTCATACATTACGTGCGAAAATATTTGCAAACTTTTTGTGACTATACGTCCGTTAATTGTAAAACACGTGTAGTTTAACTGTTGTTTAATTAATTAAATTAAAAGTGGAAGAATAACCACAAGAAGTGATTGAGTGTTGAATACAAACAACAATTGAATGAATAATAATGAATGAAATGAAGAGAAGAAGAGTTGAGACAGAAGTGAGACAATCAATGGACAGATTCAAGAGAGTTATATATGAGACACAAAATGAGATCACATTTACTACAAGAGGTGATAATTTTGCCTATAATTCAACCATAAAAAGAGATCCAAAACTTTTTGAATTCATTGTAAAAAAGTGTGAAAACATCACAACTATTGAAAACTTTGGATCGGAATTAAGTTTGAATGCAGTCATCAAATACTGCCATAAATTGCATTCAATTTCCTTTCATTGGTATAAATGGGACGAAAGTGTGAAAACAATTGACAAGTTTTTCGCTAAATTTGGGAAACAATTAAAATTCATACCCATTTCCAAATGGCGTGCAAATCAAATCAAGTGTTGCGAGAACTTAATAAAGTGTCCCAACATTTGCCATTACTTCTCGCTATTGATTGGTAACCAAAATGAGATAATATTCAAGAAATTGCAAAATATTTGCTATTATTTCGACGACAAAAGTGCCGATAATTTCCAAACATTTGCCACAATATATGGCAAACAATTGAAAGCCATTGAAGTCACATATTATGGAAAGTCTGCGAACGATTCAATACTAATGAATAGTTTGTTACAAATGACACAATTAGTTGATCTCGAATTAGATGTAGACTTAGATCACATATCTTGTGATCATTTGAAACAATTGGGTATTAATTGCCCGAAACTTAAGAGACTGTCAATCGGTTTGTGCGGCCATTCAAACGACAATTTTTCTAAATTGATTCAAACAATCAATGATTACTTCAATCATATAAAACGACTCGAATTTAACTACAAATTTTCCACAGAGTTTGCATTCACTCATAATTTCTTGAATAAATGCAAACACTTAACGCATTTAACGTCTTCAGCGATGGATTGCAATATAAAAATGGCATTTATCACGAATATTGCCACTTATTTTCCAAAACTACAATATTTGTCACTTTATTACTTGAGAATAACAGCAGATATATTGACTGAATTGTCAAAATTGCCTGAAATACGGGTCATTCGGTGCAACATTCCGTCTATGATTTGGAAACCAAAAGTTCCCACACTTTGGAAATCAACCAAAATTATAGGCATTTACCGCCTGTATTCTGATGAACCAATTATACACCAATTACAACATTAATTATTGTAATTGCAGTACTTATTGTGAATTTTGTGACAAAACCATTGATTATATTCAATGTTACTTAGGTTTTATAATCAAAAACTATATAAATTGTTCTCTTTTTTATTTGTAATTCATTTATAAAACATAATATTAGTTATAATACTTTTAATTCATTTGTATTTAATTTCAACAATGTTTCTATCATTACTTTTTACGACTAATTATTACATTTAATTGAATAATTTGTGGCGATTTATAAATGATAATTGCATTACATTTAGCGTGATCAATTGATATAATTATTAATTATTGAAATATTTTGTAATTCACAAAAAAATGTAATCAAACTTTTATTTTCAATTCAATTTAAATAACATTTTAAATACAAAAATCAATTAATATTCAACAAAAGTGTATTACAATTCTCTCTCTCTCTCTCTCTCTCTCTCTCTCTCCATAAACACCAAAACTCTCACAACAAATGCTGCAAACGATGACAACAGGTCTTCACTTCGGCCAACAGTTGGACACAACTCTCTTCAGTCATATCCGCAAACATTTGTCGCGATTTACACATAAAAAATCCCGTAAACTCACAAAAGGCCGCATTAATCACGTGATCGTCTTTGCGGCCAAACACCGGCTCCCGGGGCCACACGTATAGCCGTAGACCAGGCGTACGGTCGGCGCCGACACTATCACTGCGGCTAACAAACAGGTTATGAGCGATACTTTCGGCCAAACAATAGTCTACAAGACGTTGAACTCTGACCACAAGTCGGGCCAAACTCTCAGCGCACAGGTCTGTGGTCTCGAAGCACAGGGTGTCGATCGGCCAACCAATCAGCCGGTGGTCTGTACTGATGGGTAGTGTCTCGATGAGCATCGGGTGGTCGTAATAGTAGAGGTGGAAGTGCTGGTGATTGACCGAAGCCATGGCGCCCAACGAGTTAAACCCGGCGCGCAGTGACCGCCGGCCACTCATCGCCACCAAACTCGCGGCCAATAGTAGGCCATCACTGGTGAGCACTTGCGGCCGACAGTCGGCCAATCGCGGGACGAGCAGAGCGTTGCAGTACTCGATCGGTGATTGGTTGACGATTACGGCGCCCGACAGCTGGCCATCGCTGGACTGGACGTTGAATAAGTACTCTTCGGCGCCGATTCGGGTGAAGTTAAACCGCTGGCCGTCGAAGGGCTGCCGAATGCTAGCCATGAGTTGCGGCGGTCGACGCGCGACGGCTCGACCCTCGTTAAGGTAGGCGTGCATTGAGTACTCGCCCGGAAGGGCACGACTGGTCAGCGAGTGTTCGTCCACTCGATAGCGAAATACGTTGGGTTTGGCCAACGCTTCCGACCATTTCTGGCGTAATATGCGATCAAACGGCCGGTCAGTGTCTGCGTTAGTGGTGTCGGTGTTAGAGGTGTTGGCGAATGAGTGGTAATCACTTGAGTTGAATATCAGTGTTTCAATCGATTGGTTGTCACTATTTAACGGATCCATTAGTTCTTTCAGGCAAAGAGTTTTTCACTTTGTATTACAAAATAAACACTAATTAAAAAACTTAACAAAAAATATAAAAATAACTTTTTTTCTACACTAAACACGAGTTGGAAAGGGGTTTAAGGGGTCGGGACTGTCGGGTGCTCTACACTATTCACAAACGGCTGGACTGGTCCTCCTGTTTGATGGCCCTCTCGTCCCAAAGGGTACGTCCACTACAGGCGCACACTTTTTTGCTGTTATCGCCGACACTGGAAGCGCGGGCGACGATACCGGCGCCCACAACACCACCGCCGCCACCAGTAGTTCCCGACTGTTTAGCACTGATACCCAGCGCTCGGCCAATACAGGCGCTGAGCTCGCAATTGTCGACCACTGTCTTCAGCGAACCTCTGGCCGGATAACCACTGGTCTGGAAGTTGTCGGCAATGGGCAGGTATACGGAGCCCAAGCGCTGGAACCGTTCGCCGCTGAGGTCGCCGTACGCGTGAATGTTGACCGAGTAGTCGGTGTGTGGGCGCAGACCGTCGATCACAGCGTCCACTAAACACTGACTGTTGGCCTGTTGTGCGAAACGGACCACTCCTATGATCCCGTCGTCACCTGTAGTCAAGAGGTAGGGGTCAAGAGATCACTGGATTAGTTCCCTGAAGAGTACACAAGTATGTCATATGCTCTATAAGTACCGGTGATTTCGGTAACAGCGGCCACACTATCGCCCAAACCCTTGACAACAGTCGTGAGACCTAAGTTGGTCTCAATCGCCGATTGGATGTCGTGTACGGATGTCTTGGAAGCGATGGACGTCTGGTCAGCGGTAGGCGTGAGCTCTACGATCACGCGTTGGCTCTGGAGGTCAATGTCGAGCACTCGTACGTCCGGGAAGTGTGACAACTGGTCGGCGATCTTGTTTTTACACGACTGGCAGCGCATCTGAACCGCGAACTCCACCTGAAATGACCCAAAACTATGTAAATTTAATTATTTATAATTAGTTATCAATAGTTAATTAATAGTTACTGTTGACCGACAATGAGTTATAGATAGTTATAAAGTGTTTATGAATTTAATTAATTAATTAAAAGTTAAGTAATTTGTGATCAAAACATGTTTTTCAATTAACGGACGTATAGTCACTGCAAAAGGTTTTTCGCACGTAATCTATGAACGGATGGTATGTTTACATGCATTGCAAGTATTGGGAAATGATTTTGCACTCAAATCACTGATTAATATATTTAACTAATTATTTACACAATTAGTTAACTATAGTTATAAATAGTTAGCAATAGTTGTACGCGATTTAAAGCGCTTACTTTTGTGGCCATAATTGTCACCAATTGGTTCCCACGAAGAAGTTTATGGTAAGTGTTGTCAATAGCAGTGCTTTTAACCGCAGTTTTGTGTTTGCCTTCAAATGCAGTACAGGTGTGGACAGCAAAGGGTTGTCCGTAAATAACGTTATGAATTACGTGTGGTATTTGTTTAGTCCCCTCAGCAGAGAGTTGAATACATAGTGTGTTTTATTGTGTATTTAATTTAATTCATGGTTAATTAGTTAATATTAATTAGCTTTAGTTAGTGTTATAGTTAGTACAGTATATGTGTTGTACACTATTGATCAGTGAAATACAGTCTACTTTAGGTTTTGGTGTCTAAATTATCACTTTTTGTTTGTTAACTAGTTTTGAGCAAACTTTTTATTAATTAAATACTTTTAATTAAAACTATTAATGAATTAATTAATGAATTATCTCTTCAGACAAACAGATCCGTCGTTGCGATGACTGAATCGGTGCCGGAGTTTACTATCATTGAGAAGACATACGAATTGGACACCAAAGACACCGTACGGTTGCTGTGCATCAGAGGGGGGCAGACATTCATGGTATGGGTGGGCGAGTCGGGGGTCGGCACCGGTGCCCCCCAGTTGGCCGACCTGTCCTTAGCGGTGGGCGACCACTCGACAGCCGTATTGTCGGCCACCAGTGGTGACCAATTGAGTGCCGGTTTGGCTGCGAAACTGTCCAAAAAGTACAATAAGAGTCGACCCGTGTATGTGTCGGTCAATCATCCCGGAGCTGATGCCGGCGGCGATCAGC